ACACTCTGCTGCGTTCAAGAAGGTCTTCAGGAAGGAGTGAAAGATGATGTGTACGTTGTTCTGAACAGTCCGTGTTTCGTTCGTGCTAACGTGTATTCAATTCAGTCTACTGCATCGTCTTGATGACCTGGTTCAACTACTACTCCCACTCGTCGAAGGACAGCTACAATGACAGCTCCAGTCGTGCTAGTATCCTCATGAACACTGGTGCCTGCGTTTGGAACGATCATCGCTTGGCTATCCCAGTTCGTCAGACGTCGTCGTGCCATCGTAGCCGCCGCCATCATCTCTTGCTGCATGATCCCAGCCTGGATATTGCCTACTAATACTATCGAGCGCAGCCTCCCGCCTCCTGCTTCTTTACGCAGTTCTTCATCCAGGCGCTTGGGGTGTTATTCTCATTCATATGTTTTCCATTACCCCGTCTTCAACACAACAGTACTAACCGACACGCTAGACCTGAGCGAGCTGTCGCCTGTCGCCTTCCGGACATCATTCCCTGGTATTACTAACATGATCTCGTCCCCGTCGGCTCAAGTCGTGATTCATCAGGCGGAAATCGGATAGTGGACTTGTAGAGGTCTACCATGGGTACGTTTTCCTTTGCTTCCAATCGCGATGCGGATGTGACTGTCGTTTCAGGTATCTCTACCGTTATTATTGCCTTGGGCATCGCTTGGCGACCGCGGTGGTCCCGAATAATGTGACTCCCACTTCGAGGCTGCTTCTGTTCCATCCGGCGATGCTTTGCCCAAGCACCGACGATATTGATGATGACGACCTGAGCAAGAGAAGGGTGCTATCGAGCACGACGAGAACGCGAGGCGTTCATCATATGAACGACGATAACAACAAGCACAATGCCCTTCTTGATCCCTTCCCCCTTCCCTCATTGCCTTGTGGTGGTGCAACATTGGTCTACAATGTTACATTGTCGGGAGGTATGAGTGAATCCTCGTGCTCTACGAAATGCTACCCGTGCTATTTAGCATGGGCATGCTCGTAACACACGAACGAAATTTACCGTTTATCTGCAGTTAAGATTGTATCTTAAAATTCATCTTAAGATATTCTTTTTACATCTTTAACTTAAGACATTCTTCTCACTAGGGTAGGTTCAGGTGGAGGGTAATATTTATTAAGATAAGATTGAGCTTAAGACAAATCTTATCTTATCCCGATCACGATCGAAGGATCTTAAGAAACCTTGGTCAGGTTTCATACGTTTGGACTCTCTCCTCGTTTTCATCCCGTTACTTTTGATGTTCTCCAGCTTGCATCCTGGCAAGAGATTACTCCTCTGGAAGGCCGACGTGATGGGCGCGTTTCGAACGATACCCGTTCATCCGTTGTGGCAGTTGAAGCAGGTTGTAACGTCCATGGTGGGAGAAAGCAAGACAGACAAGACCGCATGGTTGCGTTACGTGGACTGGCGTGCCTGTTTCGGAAGTCGCGCTTCTCCGAGAGCATGGGCGTCGGTGATGGGTCTTGTCGTGGATAGCGATATGTCTTCTGAACATGGTCTTCCTTTGCTGTTATGTTGACGACTGCTACAGCGTAGGCTTAGTCGACGACATGACATGGTACGATCCGTACGAGCAATTCTATCCGACGGATCAAGTCCGACTTCTTCGACTGTGGATTGGCTCGGCATTCCCCACAAAGCAAAGAAGCAAGTTTGGGGAGAAGTTCTCGTCATCATCGGCTTCCTCGTTGATCCGAACCTATGACAGCGACTCTTCCGGACGATTCAAAGTCTGACCTCATCCGTCACGTACACCAATTCGCACACGTTGCCCGTCGACGCCAGACGCTCCACGACTTCGAGCAGTTGACCGGTTGGATAAACTGGTCGCTGAACGTCTATCCTCTACTCAAGCCCGCGTTATTCGAACATATACGCCAAAATGTCTGGAAAGGAACGCTCGCATGCACCAATTTACTTAACAAGGCGATCGTTCAAGATTTGGCATGGTTTGAAGAGCATGTTGAGGCTTGTCTGGCATGTTCTTCTTCGCCTAATCTTGACTGGAATCCCTTCACAGAGGCGAACATGGTGATCTTCTGCGACGCGTCTCTGACAGCATGGGTTTTTTGGGTACCGGAGATGGACCTCGGTTTCACGTGCGCTGTTGCGGGTGATTGATGCGAGACAAGATCTTCTTTTTGGAGGTGCTCTGTGTTTCTCGCGCGCTCGTCTGTACAGCAGTCGAACCTCGCCTTCTTTGCCACACCTGAGTGCCCAGCTCGCTTAACTATTTTTACTGATAACACGAATACAGTCAACATCTTTGACACCCTCCGCGCGCTACCGATTACAACCCTATCCTCAAAGCAGCGGTCGATATTCGTATTCGGTCAAATATTGACCTACGCGTCGTGCACGTCTCTGGCGAACTGAACACTGTAGCGGACGCCCTCTCTCGCGACTACCTTGACGTCGCGCAGTCTCTCGTGCCGAACTTATACATCGACACATTTAACCCCTCGACTTACGCTGGGGGCAACACAAAAATGAAGATCGTCCAATTGCGGACGCCGAGGCAACCGCGTAGGGAACCTTGGTCCCGCGAACGGCTTCTCCATGAGAGAGCCATTGCACTAGGACTTGCCATCGACATCTCCACCAGTGCGACTTACGATCCCACTTGAACTCTTATCTCAACTTCTGCACTCTGCATCACTTCCCGTCGAACCAACACCCGACACTCTATCATTCTACGTTGTCTACATGTGCGCGAACATCAAGCCACGCTCCGTCGCATCCTACTTAACCGGGATTTGCAATAACTCGAACCATATTTCCCCGGTGTCAGCGCGAACCGAAAATCAATCTTAGTGGCGCGATCTTTGTCAGGTGCATGAAGAGGTACGGAACTCCAATCCAGAGGAAAACTCCCTCTAGCCCGACAGCACATTCTTCCACCATCAATGACCTTCCGCCGAACGCTCCCACGACAGTTTGCTCTTCGCCGCGATGCTGACAACGAGGTTTCATGGCTTTACTCCGTCTTGGCGAAATGTCGCTCCCGGACAACGTCGCGATCCGTGACCTGCGCAAGTGTTCGCGCCGGTCCACAGTGACGTGGTTCGATGACGGGTATGGCTTCGACCTACCATATCACAAGGCAGACCGGTTCTTCGAGGGCAACAAGATACGGATCATCCGTCGTGGCGATTTCAATCCCGCTCCCGTCTTTCGCCGCTACATCGTCTCGCGTGACAAGATTTCGCGCCTGAATCCTTTCCTTTGGGTAACGGCAAAGAACGAGATCCCGACGCGAACTTGGTTCATGAAGCGTCTTCGACGCCTTGAGCCAGACGAACAATTTGCTGGCAATCGATGCGAGCTGGAGGAGCGACAGCGATGGCTGAGGACGGATGCGCCCCCCACCTCATTCAGGCTGCGGGACGCTGGCCTTCAAACACCTTCCAGATTTATATCAGGAAGAACCCCGTTCTCCTACAGGCACTACTCTTCAACCGAACCCAACAATGATTGATATCATCTTCCGACTCATTTATTAGCCATTTTTACGAACATCAATCATACTCGCGGCCGCCGCGGTGGCGGTCGGCTTTTTGGCTACCGTGTCCCCGACAGGTTCATCAGATTGGTCGAGATTAATCTTTTGATTACTCAAGGCCAATATGAGGTACGCCATTTCGCTTTCCATGCTCACAGCATCCTCACCAACAGTACTCATTACAGATCCTTCGGATCTAAAATGCTGTACTTATGGTTCGTTACCCACCGGGTCGCAAAATGAACCAGGTGAGACTCTTCTGCCTTCGGGACGTTATCCTCGCTTACAGCGAGACTTTGACGTGGTCAGCTCTCAGCGCCACATCTTTCTCTTAGGTCGATCGTTGATTTCCATACCTGGCGGGCAGCTTAGGTATGCAGCCGAGGATGTCTCGCATCCCTCAGCTCTTACTGTGCCCCGCCAGGTGCGTTCTTGTATTTTTTCTCTTAGGCTCAGTCTCTTACTGTTTCACGCCAGTATTGTATTCTCGTCGCCCGCCCGTTTGTATTCGTATCCTCATACTTGTACCACTTACCCTACGAACATCAATCATACTCGCGGCCGACCGCCACCGGTGGCGGTCGGCTTTTTGGCTACCGTGTCCCCCGACAGGTTCATCAGATTGGGGTTTCAAAACCATGACCTCCCGGTCAAAAATTGTACAATGCCGCGTCATATTACCCATGATGAGGATGGGATTCGAACCCATGCCCTTTCGGACCAGATTTTGTTGCTGGAAATCAGCATGGACCTTAGTCTGGCGCCTTAGACCGCTCGGCCACCTCACCGTACAGAATTAATGCATCTGAGCTCTTGTATATTTCCACTGCTCAGTTGAGGAACTCACATCCCAGGGGAAGAAGGGCAGACCTTACTAATGGTGAGCTACTAGTGGCAGCATTTCTTGATCGCCTCTATTCAAAATACACACTGGCATAGCTCGCCTGCATATCCTCACTTCCATCATCTATCCACAGACGATATACGATACGAAAGGACTACTAGTAGTCCCAAGACACGCATACAGAGCGATTCGACTTATGCCTCGCCAGCATCTTCCTCGGAAGCGTGAAGAATCTATCCTCTGGATAATGCTGGTTGAACCACGCGCTCAGCACCTTCAGCTGCTCGGAAGCACCTGCGCGCGGCTTATTCGGAGGCGGCACGACAATATCCAAGTCGGCTATGAGCGCAAGAAAGGCGTCGCTGTGATGGAGATTATTGATGACTCTGCACGCAACAAATGAGCATACCCGAATCGACCAGCTATAGGCCATCTATACGGGGTGGTGAGAAACAAGGCACGGTATGGAGGAAAAGAGACCCTACCTGTCCTCGTGGTAACGCAGCGCAGCGTAAGCCTGCTTCAAGAGCTGGACATCTCCCTCCGTCTCTTCCCTTGGTTCGCCTGCGATGCGGGCGCGCCAAATATTGATGACCAGTATAATAGCAGAGTAATATATCTATCCACGATTACGATCAATGGAGTCACCAAGAAAGGGCGGAAGGACGTACAGGCGTAGACCCCACCCGCGCATTCCCTGTCATCTGGTACGCGATCGTCATATGACAGCACTCCCGCGCAGCTGCGATAGATATCGTAAGCGACGATGAGAGGGACATCGTGTCACAGAAACATATGAAGGGTCTGTGTAGCTGGATCTGTGCCCAGTAATAGTTCGAGTATAAGATAACGGCTTGTTTGAGGAAAACGGGGTTAGGAATCAACGAATTAGGATTCCATCGAACTAATCCATAATTAAGAATATCGTCAGGGAGTATCGGGAAGAGACGAACGGTGTTCAGGCATCGTATCGTGCCACACCTTGAGAAAGGGCACCAAGTTGAGAATGTTCTTGCGATACACCTCTGGAAAGGTCAACTTGTTCATCTCGGAACGCTTGACTGGATACTAGTAACATCACATCGTGAGCACCAGCCAGGCCTATGATAACAAGAGTTTTACGAACGAGATTTCGGTGGATTAAAGTCATTATCTTCAACAGTTCCAGGAACTTTATCCAGTACGACATGGACGACGGCTTCCCCTCTGGCTGCTGGAACGGTTGCGGTCCTTCCCAATATTCGTAATCGCAGTCCAGAGGGAGCTCAACGTCATAACTACATACACCGTTAAGCATATAAGCATCAACGAAAATAGCGACGTACTCTTCATGAATCGTTGCCAGCGGTCTACCGGTAGCAAACGAGATGAACGCGTCAGCCGCGAAAGAGAGCCCAAAAGACAAGCTTCCACTCTTCATCGTCAACAGTCCATTGTTCGCTGAGCCGTTGTCTGTGAGCGCCTCTGCCTTGTGCCATGCGCAGACCGAAACCAGGGAGACACCACGCCGCCTCTGGATTGTTCGAGCCGTTAACGTACGTACAGCAGAGCTACCAAAATTGCTTTCAATGATACCTCCAGCAGAGGTTGGAGACACCTACAAAATACATCTGCAGCGAACACAAAGTGGGTGTTCTCGCCATCGATGACGGCAGCGGGCGAATCTGCTGGTACCACTGCCAGCCCATTGTCTCCTCATCTTGCCATGGAAGAAGCGCCCTGCCGTCCAGACAATATCGTGCACCGACTGCACACACTGCCAACACAACGCCACCGAATTCTCGATCCCGAAAATGCCTCCCGTTGCGAACGGACTGCTCGAACTTTGGACGATACAGGAGAGGCGATATCGGGTCCTGTTCAGCAAAGTATAGCGTGATCAGGTCGTCCATGAGCTGAGGCTCAGGAAATATATATGGCAGAGGGTTCGAGACGTCGAATGGCGACTATGCCAAGTCAGTGATATAGTGTAGGAAAGAATACTACAGACAACTATTGGATCAGAGTACTTCCATATCTCAGGACCGCTTCCAGGACGACAGCTGAGGCTCACGGCCGCCAAAAGCCTTCTTAACAGCCAAGGCCTCGTGTATCAACATCGGCATGCTGCTCTTCCCGAAATACGTGCTGCGTTCGTCGTGCAGTATGAGGTCTTGCACCTGGGCTGAGAGATTGCGGACATCAGTCTTGTCTCGAATAACATTTGCTAGGTCAGAGTCGCCGTCGTCCTCGTCGAGGTAGGGCTCCGGACTCTGGGACTCGAGATCTGAGAGCTGCCCTTCGAGCTTCCGGACTTCAGTTGCTAGATCGATGAGCAGTTGTCGAACAGCAGGGTCCGAAGGATCTGTAGGCGTGTTCGTGCCACTGGTCAGAATAGACTTGATTTTCTTATCCAGGTTGTTGGGTCGCTACAAAAGAATGAGGCGCCATTGTATTGAGAATGTAGAAGAGCTACCTTGCTTGGTTCCTTGATGAGACCATTCTGAACTTGAGTTTCCCCGTAATGGACAAATCTCAACCGGAATCAGGTCAAAGTCGGGTTATAATCCAGGAAACACACTCACTCGAGGCCATGATTCTGTCCAACCACGTCAGAAAAGCATTTGCATGGTGCAGACTGAAATACCTTTCTGGCATCAATGGCACGATGGGTGCACTCCTCTCCGTACGTCGCGCAGTTACTACATATGTTATTGGGCATCATCGCGCTATCGCCTGAGTGCTAGAATGAGCCAAATGGCGGCATTAGACACGAGTACGCACATTTTATCTTTCGTTGCTTGCAATTGTCGCATGAACCTCCTAAGCGCCGCTTTTTCGACGGCGCACCCGAGCTGTTGGTAGTGGAGGCACGGGCTTTGGGAGGCATAGCTGGTCAACGCAGAAGGTTAGATGCTGAAAACATTCGCGTATTTTATACACGTGAGGTAAGCTCCGCGCGAACTTGATACTAATAGAAAATCGAAACGGTTACGCAGATCCAGCGCAGATCATTTGAACATGACAATTCGAAAGAGAGCCTATCATGTCACGGGATCTTCATTTAGTCGCGCGCCTTCAAAGTCGCTGGCCCCCGCAAGTACCTCGACCTTGATGCTGCACGCTGCACCAAGCACCAAGCTGAAATGGTTTGAACGGAAGACAGAGAGAAGGTGGAAGGGTACGATGTAGAGCGCTCAGTCGGTAGACTCGGACTTTGCAAAGGGGCTTTGTGCCGTATATGGTATGCACATCCGACATTCCGAGCAAGCTAGTAAATCTGCCGGACACACACGTACTCTGTCAAGGAAACCGTCTAGCCATGGAGCCGGGGAGTAGATGTCGTATTCCCGTTTCAATCGGGACTCGACTTTGTAAGCGACTTAATGGTGCGATGGGCATGGACGTATTTCAAGAACGTCCGGTTCAGACGTGCGGGAATATTGGTGTGGGTTCACTGGCCGAGAAACCATCCACAAGCCGATGAGAAGGAACGACATATATAGGTAGGGGCTGTGTTAAGGAGTTAGAAGGGACTGAGATGTAGCCAGTGTACGCCACAAATATTCACGCTTCGCTTCCGATATAGTCTTTAAGGCTAGATGCTGAAAGCATTCGCGTACTTTGATACACGTGGGTAAGCGCTGCGCGTACTTAGTCACCCGTAGGCATACTCTACACCTCGCGGTAAGTACTGGCGCGAACTTGAATCAAACATGACAATTCGAAAGATAGCTACCCGACTGGTCTACCTCTTTACTCGAGCCATAAGGAGGGGTGCGTTGCTCATGACAATTTGTGAGAGTAAGCGCTAGTGAGATCTACAGTGATGAAACTGTTTCTTGATCTCGAGGGAAGCCTGCACTTTAAGTACTCCTTGCGTGCGCATATCGATTTACGACAAATGGCGAGAAGTCAGTCCGAGCGAGCCGTTACCGTGAAGCCGTTCTAAGTACGAACAAGTGATCCAGGGTCGAGTTCCGCACAGCGCTAATCAAGCTGCGCAGCACTTGATTGGAGATCGAAGCTTGAGAGATCTCTGAGCTTGAACGCGTTTGACCTCTCGGATGCTGAAGCAGGAATAGCTGAAACAAAGGTATAATGAATAAAATACAAGACGTTATACATTAGCGGCAGCGGCCTCAACGGTATGTCGACGTCGTTGTCTTCTAGTTGGGCCCATCTACAATGGTAAAGAACGGGCACGTTCAGACGATTCAAGATTGATTCTTGAACTACTCACAGTAGTCATACACGAGCCTGGCTTTGATGTCCTCGCCACCGGGTCCGGTGAAGTGGAGATGCCGGATGTAGCGCCTCTCGTCATTTAAGACCTCGACGCCCCAAGTCTACCGAGCATAACAATTAGCGCGGATATAATTCACAGACACGAAAGACCTGCCTGATTCGCAATCCAAGTCGTCCCGCTCTTCGCGGTATCACTCTCCGCGTAAGCCTGGATGACGCCGTGCTCGATCGTATCTTCTGACCACCCAGTCTTCAACCACTCCTCCTCCCCCTCGAGCTCCTCGACCTTGACCCTTCTCGACTTTCCAATCACAGGACCGAAGAGGTGGTCTTCGTTGTGGCGCTCCTTCCAGATGAGGGTGCGGTTCTCGGTGGTGCCTGGGATGCCGCCGGTAAGCTTCTGGTCAATATCGACGTGCTCGATTCCTTCATCGTCCTTGTAGTGTTTAATGTACAGTGTAATGGTGGCATAGGAGATGAGGCGACGTTTGGCCCAGCCGACGCCCTGCAGGCGTAGGACTTCGTCGGTGTCGTCACTGAGAGTCTTGTTCTAATTCGACTTTGAGTAAGGAATCTCTCGACGCTCGTTCACTCAGCGCACCATGGTGAACGTCCCAGTGATATTGAGGATCGAAAATCCCTCTGGAACGGACATGATGAAGGAAGGAAGCTGTAGTGGATGTTGGAATCAAAGTTAGGAACTGCTTTATATATAGT